GCTTCCCCTGGCCGGTAGTGCGGGGAGCGGGTGGCCGCGGTAGGGCCCGCCGGGGGCGCGGCAGAGCCCCAGCCTGTCTTTCCTCCGCTTTTAGGAACTTGAGGAGAAACTCCGGGCTCAGCCAGATTCCTCCTTGCTCGTGGATATCCTGCACAAGGTAAGGTGGTGTGTCACCAAAACAATGTCTGGTTTTTGCTACAAATTACAAAGATGAGCCACCTGGTCTCACGGTTTCTTGTCGGTCCCGGCCGAAAAGCACGTTTCCTTCCCTTCTTACTACTGAGCTGCTCTGAGCGTCAAAATTAAGACTCCTGTCAACTAAGGGGCCAGGCACAAATCACCAAATTTCACCTTCCAGGTCATCATCACCTCTTTTAGCTACAGAATCACGCCACGTGTCACGACGCGAGCGGCTCCCTGGCCCCGTAGCGCCTTCCATAAAATCTTCCCTAGGCACTTGGTTTCAGTTGATGTTCCTTTGTTGTTTTAGACAGTTCTTCACCCTCTGTGCACAAAATATCCCCCTTCCACCAAGTACAGAAGATGCTTTCTCACCGAACTCATCAAAAAGGTAGCGCTGGCTTTCTATGTTGTCAAAATTTTTGGTTTTTTTCTCCCTTGAAAATATGCCAGTTTTCCATTCTGAGCCGAGCTGAAGTCTTTTATTAAAAAAAAGCAGCATTCGGTGTAAAATATCGTGGCCAACAATGTATTAAAATTGGACATAATGTGTGTATGCGGTCAGTTTTGTGATGATTTGATATCCGAAAGCGCCCTGCTCTCTTTTGCATAGCATGAATCCATGGGAACCGAGCCCCTGGATGAGCTGTACGACACCCTGGCAGATGTTCTAAACGAGGAAGAGTCTACTCGTTCTTACAAAAACTACTTACTGGTAAGAACCTGCGCTGCATAAACGACCTGTAATCATCTGAACTGAGTAACAATTGGCTTTCAGAATAACCCCCCAGAAACCCGGTGTGCTTCCTACCTTTTCCTGGCTGTTAGTATTGGCGGTAAACTGTAAAATCCATTGTCTGTGCGGGTCCATTGCTCTTCTCCTTGCATGTGTCCTCCAGCCCACGGGAGAACACGTCACCCTTTCCGAGAGCAGGGCCATTGTCTCCGGAGGCACCACGGGGCTCGTCACCTGGGACGCTGCTCTTCACCTCGCAGAGTGGGCGATGGAGAACTCGGCGGTTTTCGGCAACAGGTAACGACAGCAGCACAGAGGCAAAGGTATTTTCATTCCTATTGTGAGCTACACAATCAGAATGTAGTAACACGCAGTATTTACCACCCAAAGTAACTGAACTGACCACACCCTTTTGCTACTGGAGGATTCCTGCTCTTGTCTGTTCTGCAACACTGGAACTATAATCCAGGGGAGCGCTTTGTAGCTCTTTTTAGATAGATTTTAAGAACAAAACCATCACACCAAGCAGTCTGGCCTGCTTGGTAAATGGGGCTGTTAAATTTCACCTACGGTGCTGTCCAGCCAGTCGCTTTTAACTCCTGCACTTCGCCACAGGCTGGAATTCTCACCTCATTTTAGGTCACCGATGCAGAGGCGTGCACATCAAATTTCCTAGCCTAGGCTTTGTTTATAAGCAGTCGAGAGGAACAAGCGCTTCTAAGGAACAATTCAGCTGAAGTGACTTAAAGTATCGGCCTCACAAGGACAGGAACTGTGTACACTGTATTCAAGTAATTAATTTTTACGCTTACAATTCTATCTTCAGCATTTACCTATTATTTCAGACAAAGATTATATCCTAGGTGGTTTACTCAAAAATCATTGAAATGCTCTGTAGCTGATTTTCCCTTTAGATATACTTAGAATGTTTTGATTTCCTAACTCAATTTAAAATCCTAGTAAGTACTTGTTTTACTCCATTACCCATCAGGACCATCTTGGAACTAGGGAGCGGGATTGGTTTCACCGGAATTGCAATCTGTAAAACCTGCAGCCCCAGGACATATATATTTAGTGACTGCCACCCTGGGGTTCTCACACAGCTCACAGAAAACATCCGCTTGAACGGCTTCATCATGGAGCCTGAAACCACTCCTCGTATCCAAGTGGAGCCCCAAGGCCAGGAGGCGGAAGCAACGAATTCCCCAAACCCAAACCTAATTGTCACAGAGCTCGACTGGGGCTCAGTTACAGAAAAACAACTGCTGGATCTTCAGCCCATTGATGTCATCGTTGCAGCAGGTACTTCGCACCGCGGGCTGGCCCGCAGGGATCAGCAGGTTAGAGAGAGAGATGTGAAGGTGTCTGTGTGCGGGGCTCACTCAACCCTACTCTGGTTACGTGGGAAAGATTTCACACACCCCGGCTTTTTCAGATATCCAGCAGTTGCGTATGTAATGCCAAAAAGCAAATTATTTTTCCTTTCTGAGATTTTTATAAAATCCAGGAACAGGTAAATCTGTTACTCTTAAAAGCCTCATCAACAATAACGGGCAATCTTGGCATTCTCTCGAGGGATAATGTATTTAAAAAAGAACCCACAAATCTTTTGTGGAGTATAAATCTGCAGGGAGTTTATAATTAAGATCTCATCATGGGAAATCAGGCAATACTAAAATTTCTTAGCTGTAGCTACAGGGTTTTGCTCAATTCAGGGCTTTGCAAAGCAAAAATTACCTAAGAATCCAGATGAAAAAACCCACCTAAATATACTGCAGCTCAGAAGTGAAGGTGATTTGTATTTCATCTTACTATTCCCTTCCTACACTGCATCAAGAGTAACCTGTGGGTCTGTGGTCCCCGCACTCGCCTCGATGCTGTTGTGTAACCAACTACCTCAGTATTTGTCCTGAAGGCAAGACCAACCCATTTCAGAATCACTGTCCTAATTAGTAAAGCTGACAATTTGTATCCCTTAACAATCAGGCTTGTGTTTCATCGCTGTTTCTCACTCAGGATGAAAAGAGCTGCCGTTCAAATCCAGCATTTTGCAATCAGCCTCTAAAACACAGATTCTGACTGATGCAGTTTTACTCGCTAAGGTCGGCCCTAACAGTCTCAACGCTCGGTGTTTTTGCCATCTCCCTTAAGAAGGGCTGAAATACCAATATCTGATAATCCATTTCCAAAAAGGAGCAACATTTTTTTTTTAATTTTTTTTTTTTTTAGTGATTTTGTACTGATATTAAAGATGAGGGCAACCTGACATAGCACATAAAATAGAGGCATTTTCTTAGATCTCTTCTTGGAAATTTTTAAGCCCCAAGTACAAAAAACATGTTCTCCTGCAAGGTGAATATTTTATGTTTTCCATTTGCAGTTTTTATTCTGCTTTTTCCTCACTTCTCAATAAATGCTGAAAGTTCTCTTCGTTGCACAGATGTGGTGTATGATCCAGAAATCATTTTAGCCCTGACCGGTATCCTACAAAAACTCTCCGCTTCCAGAACTGATGGGAAACCTCCCGAGGTCTACGTTGCTTCCACCATTCGGAATCCAGACACACATCGCCTGTTCCAGGCTGAGCTCGGTAGGTGCCTTTTTCAAGAAGCGTAGCGATAGTCTTGGCCTCTTTCCCATTACTTAATCCCTAGTAGAACAGGAGCATTTTTTGGTGATGGATGTTGTCCAATAGCCAGATTCTTATCCTGGAGCTGGATTTAAGGTACGGATTTAAAAATACACGCTCCTAAAGCAAGGTACAGGCAGCCACTTAATGGCACACTAAAGATCTCTAATTACGGAACTCGACCTGCAACTTTTGCCCTTCATTTTATTAAGCAGCAATATGATTCCCTGTGTTTCTCTTTACAGATAAAGTTGGGATCGGATGGCAGGTTATTCCAGCCAACAGCAGGGGTATTTTTCTCCAAGATGAGCAGCCAAACGTAACTATTCTACAGCTATTTATATAGACTCACCAAATAGGACAGAATGAGAATTTTCAGACCAAGAGGAGCCATCTTGTCCTTGCAATGAAATTATCTTAAATTCTAGAAAAGTGTATGAGAGGCGCGGAGGATGCAACACATGGACTGCTGTCAAAGTGAGTTGTGGTTCTTCCTACAATTGTCAGCATGTATGCAGGCAAGCTGCTGCCCTTGGAAAGTATCCGTGAACCTCAAGCAATTAGGAAAAAAAAATTTAAAAAAATCCCTAAGTCATACTGCATTTTGATTCCGTAGAAGAGAACAGAATTGAACTCTCTTTTCTGGCTGTAAATCTGTAAATACTGGAGGCACATCAGTAGGATCACAGGCCATGTTACCTCACACTGACAAGAAAGCAAAATAATGTTTCATAGTAATAAATAGTTTTTTACATATTATTGGTCTACTCTGTATCTGTTATACTTGCCTGCATACCTGCAGCATGGGTCACCTTAAACATGAATAATGAACACTACCTGAGCGACTGTAGCTGACAGTGCTGCAGCGGGAGGAAACGGACTCTGCTGCAAACTGGGTGTGTCTTTACTCTGCAGCTATGACAGAAATCAGAACCTGATTTACATTTCTCTCGCATAAGGATTGTCACCTTTCGCAAGCAGCTGTTGGGAAGACATCCTCTCTGCCCAGAAAATAAAAAAATCATACTCTAGCAATGGTCTACATATCCTGCAAGGGGGAAGAGCTGAGCTCACCTTCTTTGAAACTTTCCCTAATCCATTTAATCATTTCCCCATTAGACAGTACGGATCCCGAAGGAGAAAATCAAATATGCTGCTCTTCCTCCTCTTTTGGCTTCTTTTCCCGTACCTTGCTTTAAAAGCGACTTAGGAGAAAATGAACAAATACTTCAGCCTCCTCCTTCAGTGGTGAGAAAAGTGCTATTGATAAACACATCCTAGCAGCCCCAACAGGAGCTCCTTTCTCTCTCCTTACACCAAGTTCTTCCAGTCACTCAAAAAGTTCTGAAGAGATGGCTCATTTTAGAGCTAAAAAATTTTACCACAAAGAGATGAAACTTCTCCAAAGCTTCCAGCACTACCCTTCCACCAGAGAAGTGCCCAGTTTACCTCCATCACACATCAGTGGCTAAAGGGGAATGGCCAAATCACTGGACAGATTTTCCTTGGAAACAGTAGGAAAAAAATAAATATTTATTTTTCTGCAAATAAATATTTATAGGGATTCATTGTTCAGTCAAGAACCCACTGAGATCATCTACCACTACTGAACTAGGAACTCTGAAGAGCAGTAACCACATGATAAAACCAAGCATATTTATTCCTGAAACGACTGACATCTATTTTATAATCAAAAAGTGATGAAAAAAGCGTTAGATCTGTGTATGAATACTGGCACTGACAATAATCTGATGAAGAGTACACCTGAGCAAACACTTGGAAAGTGAACTGCCCTTTTATTAAATTATACATGCTTTAATAACATGGTTTGGGTTTAGTTTTCCCTTTTCATCTATTCAGAAAGTGATAAATTTTATCTTCTTTCTCAAGGTAAATGGGCACATTCACTTTGGCGTACAAGGACACCACTCACCGAAAGGGCTCTTTTCCTCTTAAGTGTTCAACAGAGCTGTCACGTACCAGTGGCTCTGCTCTCACGTTCTTGCACACGCTGTAAAAAGGAAAACAGCTTTGAAACTAAATGGTTCTGTCTCAAGAACATCATGCAAGATGATATTCAGCACTTGTCTATGGAAGGCTAGCCAGGAGTAGTAACTGGCTGACAAAAAGCAAAACCCTGTTGTATCCAGTAAAACAGTTCAAATGAAAGGCATCTCCCATTTGCAAGAAAACACACCCCAGTTGTCCACTAAAGTGCTTAGTGTACAACAGGTGTAATGGGTAATAGTTCATAGACATATCTGAGTATCTTCACCAAAAAGTGACCTTTAAGCAGCACAGGGAACTGATTTTGCACATTTGCGTTCCTGAAGTAACTAAACCTCCCTCCTGCTTTGTAAAGATCCAGCCTGAGGAAGGAGAGGCAGTCCAGAAGGCAAGGCTCAAGCTCTTCAGCACAGGAACCACATCTTCCCTCAAGATTTACACTGTCAGCACGCAACAAACAGCTCCAAGTGTAAAGGAGAAGGTGCGTTCCAAGATGACGTAGTTAAAAACTGCAACTGCGGACAATAGACATTGTTTATTCACTATTTATCCAATCTGTCCAGCACCAAGAATTAGCTTTGTTTGAAACCCTTCTCCCCCACAGAAGAAAAAGTCATTCATTCTGCCCAAACAAAGGAAGAACAGTCTGGTCCCAGCTCTCATCCCAGCGCAGCTGCTTGGATGCACGAAGGTTTTTCCTGAAGTTGTGAAGTTTGCCTTCCAGTGCAGGAAATCCCAAGAAAAGCATCTGCAAGTTAAAAAGGAAAACCACAGAAAAATACCGTTATAATCCATTCTGGGCTCATTCTAGCCTCCTCAATGTCAACCTTCCATGACAGTGCTGCAGTAAGAGCACTCCTTGGTCTGGCCCTATAAATAGTGAACTATGACAGTGTTTAAAATGTTCTTTCCAGCTTCAGATTCATATTCCAGCAGAAGTGAGGCCCAACAGCGTTCACCAGGTATCTTGGGAGAATCCAAAATGCACAGATGATCAGCAGATATGGAAAGGCTGCTCACATGGCAGTACCTCTGTTTTTAGAGCTAGTGGGAGAGAAAAAGATCAGTTAAGGTTTTCTTTACCTTTAGCTGTTCTGCAAGTTCATCTGAGTCCCTGAAGATGAGACCATTTTCGTTGTGTTTCACAAGTTCACTTAAACTGCGAGCAAAAGCCATGGAAGAGAGCATGAGACAAAAAGCAGCGAAAGCGACACCAACAGTTAAAAAGTTGTACAGTGACATCATGATAGTGTATCTGTAACATCATGGTTCCTGACTGGCAGACACGAGCTTCGTAGCTGACAAAACAGAGTGAAGATTGTTTCTCCCTTCTCTGTCAGGCGATTTAAATCTACCACTGCAGTACAAAAGGGGCCTCACTCTGGCTTTGTGCCCCTCATCTGGACGTACATTAAAAACCAGAGCAATACTCCACTTTAAAATTAACCCACATGGAAAATCTGTCCATGATCCCGTTCATAAGATCTTCACAGGGAATTTATCTTGCTTTATAAAAGCTACTGTCTCCCCAAAAGACCATAAATTCTAAGGCTATGCCTCCACTCACCTCTTCACAGAAGAGAGGCATGTCTATGAAGAAGGAATCTTTTTTAAAATGAAGTATATGGAAACAAAAGAATTATAGGGTAGTTATTTTTTAAGGCAAATGGTTGCATTAAACGCTTCCACCTTCATAGAAACTAGTGTTAATTTTTTTAACTTAAAACAACCTTGATTTCTGACTTATCTTACTGAATTAAAAAAAAAGTTACTATGGCATAAGACCAGAATCTCATTTGACACACGCAGTAGCTTTGTACGAATACTGCTTTAGCCAATCCACTTAAACTACAACAGAATAAACGAGCTCTTACCACTGAAAATGTATTGCACACACCGGTAAACAACAGCCAAACATATCTACCACCTTCATGGGTAAATCCAAACCACTGGATGATTTATGGAGACACACCCCCAGGTCTGCTGCACCTGAAAAGCAAACAGAGCAGGCAAGAGGAAATGAATTCTCTGAAAGTAGTTCTTCTAGTCTTATTATAAACTTTTTTATTTATGAACAGTTTAAAGCACTCGAGGGGAAAAAAAAAAGCACAATATATTTTGTGGCGAAAATTAGTCAGGCTTCAGAAACACTCCAGGCGAATGCATAGTTAATTAAAGGGAATTTTAAAATTTCATCGATTTTAAACCAGTCTTTCTGCTTCTTCATCTGCTAAGAGTGGGTAACTGCACAGTAACTTCCATCACAACGCAGACAGGATGCGCTGCACGGCTCACTAGCGACCTCTTCCAGTTTAAGTGATTTCGAAAGCCAGCAAATGCAGTGTGTAATTTAAAAGTACCAAATGAACAGTGTTTTACAGCCGTGGAAACTGGCAGGCTCTAAGCCTGCAGAAGGCAGAGCAAGCTGAATGTATATTTTCCTACTTTCTCAAGCTCACTCACACTTTATGCTAACACAATGAACGTGCTGAGGGAATACTATTCCAAGTTAAATTAGAGTTTCAGCCACCTGTGGCTGCCTAGCCAAAAACTTTATGATTTCATTTACTGAAGTGACCCTGAAACTAAACTGGAACACGCACAGGCACATTGTATTTCAGCAGTTAGAAGAAACAAAGAATATAAAGAACAGGCTAAAATAGCAACACTATCCCTACTTTTTGGGATAACAGTGAAAATCTGAAGTTAGAGAAATTTAGCAATTTTGCCAGCACGAGTGAAAACCACGAATATACCATCACTAACCAGCAACTTCATTCGCTGACAACAATCTACCAGTTTCTGTAGAGAATCTGTGTCAGCTCTCTACAAGCGCGCTGAAGTTTGTTTCAAACCCTCTCAACTCTATTTCATAATCCAGTGTTTACCAAGCAGAAGAGGGTAATCCTCAGCTTCAAGCCACGGCGTACAGATCTGGATATGTTTAAAGCGCAGTTCATTTATCAGTCCATTGTAGTAGTCTTTTAGCGGTCCTTTACCTGTTTAAGACAGAAAAAATAGGTGGTTTTTTTTTAATCAAGATGACTGAAAACAGCGTGGTCTGTGGGTCTTACTGTAGAGCTGGCAAACTCCTGGTGTATCGGGTACGTCAAAAAGGACTCAACACACAAGTCCCCCAAAGACACGTAAAGGACTAAGACCCCTTGAAAGCAACATGAACCTAGCGTTCTTTCTTACTCAGTATTCTGAAGTCTGCCATCAAAATGGAATCACAGAGTCGTTTAGGTTGGAAAAGACCTTTAAGATCATCGAGTCCAACCGTTAACCCAGCACTGCCAGGCCCCCAGTGCCCCATGTCCCTGAGCAACACAGCTACACGGCTTTTTAAACCCTCCAGGGATGGTGACTTCACTCCTTCCCTGGGCAGCCTGTTCCAGCGCCTGACAACCCTTTCTGTGAAGTTTTCCTGAATGTCCCATCTTAAAAAAAAGCCTTCCGTATTATCAGTGAAAGAACTGTTCATGCAAACAAACTATTACCTGTTATCACACATACTAGAGGCGGAAGCTCGATTCCCTCATTGATAAACCGCTCATAATCTGGGGAAGATAAAAAGCTGCTCAGAGTCGGCAAATCTACGGATGCTTGGCTGAACAATGGGCACAAGATATTAATTGTTTGGCTTCCTATTTCAAGCAATTTCTTTAAACGTATACCTAGTAAAACAGCAGTAAATTTTGAAATGTTAAAGTTGACAAACTTCTACAGAAATAAACTATGGTCCGTTTAAAATGCACTACTCATAAAGCATTTGCTTGACTACACCGTATCAGCTGTTCCAACACATTAATTTAGGAACTGTAGCTGCAAAGCCTACAAAATAAGATGACACGCATTTCCTTCTTTCCTACTAGTAGATGCCTATGGTAAGAATACGTAATAGCTTAGAAAAAGAAAACTGCAATTTACAAGCTAGTTAGAAATTTAATTCTCCCTGACAACTACTCTTAATTGAATCCAGATGCTGTGCTTCTGTATTTCAGCTACTGCTTTTAAACAACTGCTAATTCCTCAAATGCACCTGCATCTTACCTGAATACAGAAACACTGCTCCTCAGTGAAACCTTTCCCAACCATCCACAACCACTCCCCTTCAGAGAGGTGAGATTAATTCCTTCACACCTACCTTTTAAAGCTCTTAGAAGAACTGAAAAGTCTTCATCCTCTGAAAGAGAAAGCTTTGTTAGGGACATTTGAATTCCCACATACTGTACTTAAATAGCAACAATCAAGACTCCCCTCGCCTTCACCCACACGCTGTAAGTGTGGACCATGCTTTCCCTATTAAAAATCTGCTCTTATTTTCATAAATAAAAGTCTGGAACCATATAAGGCCTTATTTGCTCCCCTTAGTGGCAACATGGCAGACAAAGAAGGAAAAACCCCCGCACATCCTCAAAGCTATCAAGTTAAAATTTTCCAGTTTCTAAAGCTATAGAATTAAGTATAGAAATTGCCCTGTTAATTCAAAGGTATAGACAATTCTGCCCATACTAGCAATGGATTTGCTTCCACTCTCCATTCCCTTCATATGGAGGAAAAAAAAAATGAGAAAATTGCATAATACATGTTATCAGAAATAAAGGAGTACGTATTTCAGTTTCTGAATCTATTTTATGCCAACACACAAGACAGAATGGAAGTTAAAAAAAGAAGTAGGAAATCTTTTTTATCGGTCCTGAAGCTGAGCCTGTAGACTGCAGCTCTATAATTAAACTACAGCATAAAATCATTCATTTTTTGCCACTAGAGGTATATCACGTACAACTCGCCTCCAAATTCCTCCAGCTAAATGAAAGGAAAACCTAACTTGGCCGCGGATGATGTGGGCACACCTCTACAGGATGTCAAGTGTGAGGAAGTACAAACAGCCCTACTTTTATCTTTTGTTTAACAGTGGTTTTAAATACCAAAAATAAAACTTATTCGTTCCCAAACCTGTCCAGCTTGTGCTGCTGATCAGAAGAGCGGGCCGATCTCTGGGTTTTATCACGTGTCCACGTTTTTCATCCCTTTCTGTAAAGGCAGATCTCTCCACATTTGAACTGACAGACTCTGTACTACGGGAACAGAATTTTCTGAGTATGGGCTACACGAACACAAAAAGAAATACTACACTTAACGCAAAAGTATTTCTAGTAACTAAGCACAGTAACTTTCTGTCATTCAATGCAGGACTGTAACCGGCGTGTTTCACTTACACATACCGCGGCTTAAAAGGCTCGTAGTCTGTGGCAAGTTTCATGTACAAATGATGTTGAAGTTCTAATGGCGTTTCCTTAAAATAAGAGGCTGGCTTGTCATACAGCGTTACTGCCCTGTCATGAAATAAATTTACAACTTTAATAAAAAGCAGATGCAACAAAACGTAATATTGAAATGTAAAATACCAATATAAGAAAAAACAGAAAGCTTTAATATGCCTTACAGGATATTAAAAGAAATAAACTGGAACTAACATGCAAAATGTTCATTTTGAATTTCAGACAGAGCTCCTATATTGTTTCGGTACGAAAAAGCATGTCACCTCCAACACGTATTAAAAACAGTGTTGAATGTAATATGGTGTAAAAGCAACACTTAGAGTAATTCAAACAGCTTTAACATAAATACACTTAGTGTTGAAATACACTCTACAAAACTATCTTGAGAAATGCTCAAAATTGTTTAACAGCTTTATAGTCTTTACTCAACTTGGTTATTACATCCTAGATGACCGTTCACTTCTGTATGTTCAAAAATATTGAACCTGAAAGGTTTTAAAATAAGAATCCTGAAATCACTTACAGTGAAGAAGTGACACGCTACAACAAAGTAATGCAGAAAGTAATTAAGTAAATCAATATAGCAAAATAATTTGTTTGATTTATAACTTTCTGTATTCCTGAAGGTTGCTGGAATAAACCACGGTGGACATATTCCCCCCACCTTTCTCTGTGGGTATTCAGGGGGTGTAACGCGACCGTAAAAACCGCAGACAATATTGTCCTGATTTTGAAACATATTTCTAAATTTTCCTGAGCAATTTTGATCTCAAAGCCTTCTGACTGCAAAAGGAAAATCATCAGGGCAGCCCAACTGTTAAGAACTACAGTGGTGTCAGCCTCATTCACGTTTTGTAGGCAGCCTGGTAGCAAGCTTGCAAAACACCTGGACTGCCACCTTCTAGTCAATGGGGTGTTAATTACAAAGGGTAATGAGGATTCTTGAATGCCCACACTCCATTAGCTCACTACAAAGCTGACCTAACACGCTTCATGACAATGGATGGGCTTAAGAAATTTGCTTTTGTAAGATTCCTCTTAATTCAGAATCATCAGGCATATGTTCTTCTGGTTTATGTCGCACACACACGAGCTAATTCGTTAGAGCTACGTGACTTACTTTATGTTCCAATTCACCCACAGGTCTTCTTTCATTGCATTAGTGACACACAAGTTATAGTCAGACAAACGCCCAAAAAGCTTTTCATACCTGAAAAAAAATAAAATCTTAGTTAAAAACCACAGGTGAGCAATCACACTAGCCAAACAGTAACTGCCCAGCAGTGCCCATGCAAATTAACAGCCAAACAAACCCAAAAGAAGCTCAACTGCCCCCTGTAACTGAAATTTAATTACCAAATAGAGACTGACTGGAGCAGTATCACTTTACGAGAAGGAATACAGCATGACTCCCTTACCCTCAGAAACCTAAGAACACCGTATTCAAAAGCCTTTATCTATGTGTTACCAGTTAGATGCAGCAAGAAACAGATGCTTAGAGATGAGCTGGAGTGTAAAACAGTGTTGGAGAATAAAAACCAGAAGTACATACAAAAACATTCTAAGAACGAGATCAATGTTTGCAGATGTTCATAAAAGCAACTTCCCTACTTCATCAGTCGCCTTCCTGCGCGTTTAACAAAGGCGTTTTACAGAACACGCTTTCTAAAATAGAAGCAGTTTAACACAGCAAAATCCAATAATGCTGCACGGCAACAGCCCTTCACTAATTCTACTCTCCCCACGGGTTTCCATCCTTCTGAATTCTGCAAAGACATGTCATTTATAAAGAGGAGAATAAACTGCTATACGAACCATTTTGCAATTTGTACTATTGGGTGATTTCTTCCATGACTCAGACTCATTATAGAATATCCATAGTTGTGCCAATCAATTATCAGTTTGCTTCTCCAGAAAAGACAAGCAACCCAGGCAACGGCTATACTAGGTAAGCCAGGAGGATTCTGTTTGATAAATAAAACAAATAAAAATAGCATAAGACCGACCAAGTGACAAAGGCTAAGCAATAGAAGGAGAAAATCAAATAACTGAAATTACATTGCTTTATAGGATCTTAACAAACAGAGACAATTTTGTGTGCACCAACTCCAGAACTGCCAGTTTCTCCTATGAAGACTGGTGGGCATGCCAAATTTTACTGTTGCATCAGGATCAAAATTCCCCTCCAATAAGCTCACAAACATTTCTTATTAGGATTTATTCTTTACTACTATCCCTGTCAATGAAGTTTGAAAGGACAACGATTGACAGGAAGAACAAATCTCAGTTGTTAACACAGAAATCAAAGTTTAGAGCCAAAAAAAAAGTTTGATATAAGTTTACACCATTGACTATGCCAGTTTTAGCTCTCAGATAATTAGAACAATGGCTGAGACTCGTACAAATGCCTTGTAATGCAGCACTATTTATTTTTATCAACATTAGTCCCAGCACAAAACATACCTGAAGAAGAATGTAAGATGGCTGGTCTATTCTCAGCATTGAGTACAGTAACTGTATTGCCTGCACGATGACTTTTACAACATACTGGAAAAGCTTCGGACCAACTGCAAAACAGCAGAAAACTTGGTAAGTACACTACAGCTCTCCAGCTATGCACATCTCGTACAGAACGAGCCGTCTCTGCAGAGAAAGGCTTAAAGGTTTCCCACCTGGATTGGGGCAATCCACAATCACAGGCTGTGTGATGAGTGAACTGAGAGCAGCCCTGAAGGGAAAGACTCGGGGGGTGCTGGTTGATGAGATGCTCAATATGAGCCAGCAACGTGTGCTCACAGCCCAAAAAGCCAACCATGTCCTGGGCCGCATCAAGAGCGGCGCGGCCAGACAGGTCAAGGGAGGGGATTCTGCCCCTCTGCTCTGGTGGGACCCCACCTGCAGTTCTGTGTCCAACTGTGAAGCCCCAGCACAAGAAGGATGTGGAGCTGCTGGAACGGGTCCAGAGGAGGCCATGAAGACGATCAGTGGCTGGAGCAACTCTCCTACAAGCTGGGAGAGCTGGGGCTGTTCACCCTGGAGAAGCGAAGGCTCCAGGACAACCTTATAGTGGCCTCTCAGTCCCTGAAGGGGCTGCAGGAGAGCTGGGGGGGCACTGCTTACAAGGGCACGTAGTGACAGGCTGAGGGGCAATGGTTTTAGGGCAGAGCAGGGCAGATTTAGGTATTAAGAAGAAATGATTTTCTGTGCAGGTGGCGAGGCGCTGGCACAGGTTGCCCAGGGGAGCAGTGGATGCTCATCCCGGGAAGTGCTCACGGCCAGGCTGGGGCTCGGAACAACCTGGGCTGGCAGGAGGTGTCCCTGCCCAGGGCAGGGCCTTGGGACCAGATGCTCTCTAAGGTTCCTTCCAACTCAAATCAATCTGTGATTCTATGAAATAACGTTACCCTTTAAAAAACGGAAACTTGGTTTTAGACAAATGACCTGCAATTCCTACAAACTCTTGTTCTATGTGTTCCCACAAGGCTAAAAAAAATAAATAAATTTAAGAACGTCCTCATTTCAGCCTGCACCCAAAC